CAATTGTCTCGTTATTGATCCGGCGCCCATCAGTTATTTTCGGGCTAGTCCGGCAGTGGCAACCATATTCTGTGGCGTATCCTTTCATGGCATAACTTGCCGCAGTAAATCCACATCAGCTGTTGAAGGAACGATGGAAATAGATGATTTGAAAAGCTCAAAGTCGAGCAAAGCGCTGGAAATCCGTGAAGTAACGTAACACTCGCAAATGAGCGTTGCGGATACTTTCGTGCACCACCACATGACAGCTCAAAACAATGGCTATGGATATCATAGCGTTTACAATTGGATATAGCGCACGGAGCCTGAGCTGGGGTAAGCGCAGTGAGTTCCGAAGATGGTATCTCCCTCCTTCGAGAGGGTATACTGATCTTTCGACAGTTTTCGCCAACCAAGCTTGTAGCTTTTTCAAGTATTCTTCCTGTGGAGAAACCCAAAAGAACATATATTATCCAGTTTGACTTCACGATTTTTCAAGCTGAATTCGCGACGCTCTATGCCAAACTCACGACCTTGCAAACCAAACTCATGACTTTCTGACCCAAATTTGAGGCTTACTTATCCATGCCTCATTACTGGAACTCTCTGCAGCCACGCACATATTCAGCGTGGTCATGATTCTCCACATTTTATTCTGTAAGTTCTGCTTCTGTGAGTTTTGCACTTCCGTTGTTTAGCACACATACCCTAAATGAAGAATACTGTACATCAACATAGATGCACACGCGCCCGCTTTTTAATGGAATCGCTGGAAATTTCGATTCATCTACGATTTTTTTGTGCGTGGCTGCAGGGCGGGGTTTGGAACCACAAAAAAAATCGCTATGAAATCGAAATTACCTGCGACTCCATTAAAAAGCGGGCGTGTGTACTGATGTACAGTACTCTTCATTGAGGGAGTATGTGCAAAACAATAAAAGTGCAAAACGCTCACAAAAGCAGAAGTTATCCTTCTCTGTCATAAACCAGTAACTTTGTGTGTCGCTTTGTATGTCTGTAAGTATGTATGCCTGTCTGTCTGACCGTCCGCAAAATGCTTCACGGGTTCGAGTTAGCGGGAGGGAGAAAACGACCGCTACACAAACCGGTAACCGATTGGTGCGGATGTAACAATCCAATGTTTTGACTGTGATAACAGCCCGATAACCATTCGGTACACTCCAAGCCATTGCACGAGCTGCTCCTGTGGAGATGGACGGGTGGTCGTGCAGGTACAGGGTGGGATGGAGTCAAGGGGGGGGGCACCGAGTGACCCCCCCCCTTCTGGTTCCTTCATCTGCACATGCTCAGATCCAGTTGAGCACGTGCAGGGGAAGGAAGCAGAGGGGAGTTTGGTACAGTGAGGGGGGAAGGGGTGTAGCGCACGCTTGAGTGGGACAATAGCTGGGGAGGAGAACACAACCGCTAGCAAAGTGCAAGCTAATCTGTGATAAAGTAACAAACTGAGATGTTGTTCTGACTGCGATAATACCCTCAACCTATTTGAGAGGTTTAGTACACTCCAAGCCATTGTAACTGCTGGCGTGGCAACTGGACGTGAGCTTGCGCGTGGGTTCGTCCAACTATTGCGATTCCACCAAAACAGCGCAGTACGAGTAGCTAAGTGAAAAAACAAGTTTGTTACCGTCATGAAAAGCGCCTCGCGGAACCATGCCATCTAAAGATAGGGAGGAGAGCGCTGCGTCAGCCGAGCGATCCGACTCGTAGAATAAAATGTTGGGAATCATGACCCGCTGGATGTGCGCGTGGCTGCAGAAGCAGCATGCAGAATCGTGAACTCAAACTGGATAATATATGTTCTTTTGGGTTTCTCCACAGGAAGAATACTTGAAAAAGCTACAAGCTTGGCTTGGCGAAAACTGTCGAGAGATCATTGTGCTCTCTCGAAGGAGGAAGATAGCATCTACGGAATTCACTGCGCTTACCCCAGCTCAGGCTCCGCGCGCTATATCCAATTGTAAACGCTATGATATCCATAGCCATTGTTTTGAGCTGTCATGTGGTGGTGCACGAAAGTATCCGCAACGCTCATTTGCGAGTGTTACGTTACTTCACGGATTTCCAGCGCTTTGCTCGACTTTGAGCTTTTCAAATCATCTATTTCCATCGTTCCTTCAAGAGCTAATGTGGATTTACTGCGGCAAGTTATGCCATGAAAGGATACGCCACAGAATATGGTTGCCACTGCCGGACTAGCCCGAAAATAACTGATGGGCGCCGGATCAATAACGAGACAATTGCATTTGGCTGTGACACAATGTGCTTTGCTTTCATCGACTTCTGATTCCCTAAAGTGCATAAAATATCAATAAGGAGGTGTTGACAAAAGACAGACAATCAACACATGGCCTGAAAAAGTTTCCAGATTATTCCGACAGGATCTGGCTATGAAGCCATGGTTATAAAGCCTATAAAATGGACTAGCAAAGTCGTATACCAATCGAAATGTTGTTCATTCTCGTACCACTGTGCTTCCTCCTAATCAACGTAGAGGCTGGAAGTAAGTGCCTGTGCGTGTTACGGCTGCTTAAGTAGCCAATCAACGAATGGGAAAGCATATCGTGTTTTCAGACAGATGCCCTACCTACACAGCAATGGAGCAGTGGTACTCGGACTTCAATAAATTCCTCAACCCTGGACTGGTTGGTGCTCTTAAAATGTTCTTTCTTGAATCGCTCAAGTCGTTTTTTGCCTGTACCTACCACACAATTCACCTCCAAAATCAATTACGGCCCGAACGCTATGTTTTGTAAAAATTTTAAGATCTTCGAAATTGTTAACAGGATGTGAAAGGTTGTTGAAGATGGAATTGAGGCAATTGATTTTGTCTTCTAGAAGGTACACTGTGCGCTCACCTTTGGAGATCCTGGCCTCGCTATGCGCGTAGTGAAGCGAAAGCGCGATGAAGCGAGACTGGAGAGTAGGGGTAGGTAAATGACTTTTAGGGCTCCCCGGGCATGCGACCTGGGATACAACCATGCATGCCTTATTATAGCCAAATGCGCCTCCTTGTCGGCTTCCCATTTGATCGTGATCTACTCTTGGCACAGATAAGCAGCTTGTAGTGTATGTGACACGCTGTGATTTCTCAGCAACGACACACATGCCACACTTTGCGGCCAGCAAGCAAGTCTTATACGGCAAACTGCAGTGACAGCTCTCCTGCCTCGATCCTGCGCACTTTCGAGTTTTGATGGCCGCTTTTCTGAGCGCACCTGTTCACGTCACACGCTTCAAGATTAATCTTGCAGGAGCGTGTCCAACGTAAGCTCAACACCCACATGAGTAAAATCAATCATGAAATTTCGAAGAGAAATTCTCTTCCAGGGGTATGGGACTCAAGTGACTTGCCAGGACGGCCTGTAATCGAAGCAAGAGAGGTGTGTAACTCTAATGCAGCGCTCATGGAAATTCGTATACGGCGCATGGAATAAGTGTCTGCCATACAAAAGAATATTCCACGAGAGTGCCGACGTACTTTGTTAAGGACTATTTTCGAAGGTGGGAATGCAGTCCAGTTGTATGGGATCAGGGAAAGCCTTAGCAGAAGGTGCAAAAACCGAATCACAAAACCGAGAATGTGTCATAGACGAGATATTTCCATACTTTCTGAGATGTTGTAATTATATGAACTCGTGAACGTATCCTACAGCTGTTTGTTTAAATCGGTTCTATTCTGATTTTTGCAAGGTACGCAAACTTCCTGCTAAAACCAGGTATGGATGTAACAGCTACTTCAAAGGGAACCTAGTAAAAGTCGTCTGTATCTACAAAGAATGTTTCGCCTTCAGCAAGCACGCATCTGGCGAAATATGTGACGTGTTTGTGTGAAATATGTGACTGGTTTTTCGCGAAATAAAGTTCCTCGACTTTCCATCAAGCATGTGGAGCACTAATGATTCGAAATGCCATTCTTCAGAAATCAGCCTGATCAGCTGTTGGTACATTCTAAAGCATTACAACTTGACTCGACGAAACCCATCGATACTCCTCGGCTTTTAGCTCAGAGTATAATAATAGTAAGGGTTAAGAACCCAGCAGCGCTGGGTTATAGGCTGATACCGTTTAAATGCACTAAGTTCTGGCTGCTGGCTCATTTATGAAATGCCTAGATCATCAAATCCGCTGAAAACTTGTATCAATTGTATTCAATTGGATACAAATCCAAAATCACTGAACTGAGAGACTTCGTGAAAGAAACCAGGAGTATTCGACGATCAACTCTGCGTACACCAAAGCTGCTGACAGCATCTTCCCTTGTCAAGAAGGAGTTCTGAATTCTGTTTCGTGAATGTGCGCGCGACTGTGGCAGCCTCCAAGCTTCGCGTGCACCAGCATATGGACTGACTATCAGGTACTTCACTGCACTCTCTTCACAGTTCGTTTCTACTCGAAAAAAAACAGAGATCAGAGAGAAGTGCTCAGGTAATACAGAAAGCGAGGAACAAATCCGAAAATCTTCTCAAAGCAATCAATCGTAGACAATAGAAAGTGGACAGAATAGCTCAAGACCGTCACAGCAGAAGTAGACCTTTGCTCTTGCTTCAAAACGATTTTATTATTTCAGCGACAGATTCAGAAATCACTTTGCACCAGAAGCTTGAAAAGAGTCCGTGTGATTGGAACATTTTGGAAAAATTCACCAATTTCAGTTCATTTCCGTCTCATTCCACAAAAGCATCTCCTATTTCGAATCAATAAGCTTGGGTTCCACATAAGCAGCTCGCGACTTTCACATCTAGTCAGTATGAAATCCGTCGCCTTCTTAGTCAAGATCAGTTGTTTAAACGGGATAACGATAGAGCATTCGGAGAGTTGGGTAAAGTAAACGAACTCCGAAATAGGGTCGGATATAAAGACTTCAGTCTTAGCAGCAAGACATAGCAGCAGTTCGTTGAATCTTGCATTGGAGCCTACGACGCAATCGCCTCTACGACCGATTGCGCGACCGGTCGCGTAGTACGTGTGACCGAAATGATGCTGTCGCTGGTTATGTGATAGAAGTCGCACAGTTGTTTCGCAGGCCACAGCAAGGAAGGCAAGAGGGACATTGAATAGCCGGATCATGACATTCTCACAAGAACAATGCGCGGTATTCGCGCTTGAACCAAGTGGATTCAGCCATTGATTACAGTGCTGCCTAGTATCTATTAGGTTGTCGCATAAGTTCTTATACACGAATTTTTCGTAAATATCTCAATAGCGAACCAACCTGAAGATTAGAGGTATGCATCATCACCATCCACTACTCGACGCCAGCGCTCAGGCAGCTTGTCGATTCCTTCCTTCCAGAACGACGGGGGCTGGGACTTGAAGAAGTCGTCGAGTGCCTTTCTGACCTGATCCTTTGTTTCGAACTTTTTTCCGTCCAGATAGCGCTGCAGGTGGCTGAACAGCCAGTAGTCAGAAGGAGCGAGGTCAGGGCTGTAGGGAGGGTGGGCGACCATCAGCCATCCGTACTTCTCCAGCTCGGCCTGGGTCGCCTTTGCAGTGTGAGGTCGGGCGTTGTCATGGTGGAAGTAGATTTCCGCATTCCTTCCACGAGTACGGTCGACGTGATCTTTCACTTTGCGCAGCTGGGTAACTATGTGGACGCGTCAATCGTCTATCCCTTCTCCAGCACTCCATGCCTCTTCTGGACCACCAACAGGACAGGAGAACCCTTCTTGGGGTGAAGGTCGGCCTTTGGGGTGGCTTCTGGCTGTTCTCCTTTGTCGACCCACTGCCGCTTCCTCACAGGGTTATCGTAGAGGACCCACTTCTCATCTCCAGTGATCATCGAGTTGAGAAAGTGAAGCTTCTTTTGTGAATCGTGAAGCAAAACCAGGCAGTGGCGCAGGTACATTCTGTCACAGTGGTAATTGTGCGACATTGTGTACTGCAAATGCAAGCTCGGTGAGTGATAGCTAGTGTAATGAAAGAGTATAATGTACACGTCACGCACACGTGATGACGTAATACCAACATCCATGCGAACGAAATAGGAGAGGATCAAACACGTGTATAAGAACTTATGCGACAACCTAATACTAGCTAGCTGGTACTTCAGTTTGTGTGCATTACTGCGTAGTGTACATAGCCCGTAGCCTCGTAAATGGCGCAGAACCTCATATCAGGATATGAAGGATTCGAACTGAACTGGATGACTGCCAACAAGTCTCTCTGACAGAATGAAAATTTCAAGGACATTAAAACATTCTGAACAAGCTACCTGCGCTTACGAGGTAATGTGTGAGTGCCAACCTCTTTCCTTTTTATAGTTTCATCAGACTTGTGGCAGAATCTACCAGAATGACTATTTTTGACTGCTTTCTGTATTCATCCTTGGATACATTTCCGACGCAGTCTTGAAATAACTTGAGCTTTACTCTTTGATGGTATAGAAAGTCTTTATAAGAGCGAGCGACAGCGTGAACATGGAATCTACTGACTGGTTCAGCCTTGAGACAATCCCCGCGACCGCACTTCCTTTGCACTACAGTTCATAAATAGAACTGCCGTGTGCTTGTTGACCTGCTGAAGGAGAAGAAAACTCGAAAAGCCGCCCGCAGTAAGGTTTTCTTTATTGCAATTGATCGTACTCAATGAATGAGCATGAGATTGTCAAGATCAGTTGTGAAGTGCAAAAGGAGATGATGCATTGACAACAGACGAGGAAGGTCAGAATATGACGTTCGAGGGAGCGCCGTGGCAGCCTCGCAACGACACCGAATTACGGCATGGGCCATGGGCGTACACGGGCGCATAGGCATACTGGGCATCCATGGGCCTGAAACCAAATCGCCCTGCGCTCTGGTTGCTTCCATTTTTTGCATATAGTACAACCTCTGTGGGTGTCAACGTGAACGTTTAAGAGGCCTTAGCCTTGATTCACTGCGAAGTGCATTTAATAAGGATATGCAGTTCTGCATGGGTTTTTCATAGATGATATCCACGTGGCTCACCTCGTAGAGTATCCATCTATGATTTTTCCGTGTACCTCAATCACCTGAGCGCTATGAACTTTTGTAATGCTCCCCCGAATTTTTTTTGCTGTTTCCTCTGTGTTCAGATGCTCAAGCAAACTTGGCTCTGTAAAGCTGGAGCGAAGATAGCCGATGGTGGCTGAGCTTCAAGAAAATTTGAATTCGGAGACCTCCACGACACCTTCGCTATAGCGCCTGTGGACGGCTATAAATAGAGTGAATGCGCAACCTGCAGCATTCAAGAAAACCTAATTGGGATTGTGCAATAATCGAGTAGCTTGGACGAATTCTTGCATGCTAGTTCGCGGTGAATCCGTTACATCGTGATCTGTGCAACAACAAGGCGTGCTGGATTGTAGTAGCAACTGACAGCGGCAGACAGGGGCTCATGGATTCACTCATTGCTGTTCAAAATAGCTCGGAACTTGCTACTTCTGAGATCTGAATGCTTTTCGACCCCTTTATATATGGGCCTTGAATAATCCACTATTCAAAGCCATGTCAAAATCGAGCTATCGTCCTACTATGCACTGCGCATGCTCGGTCTGTAAAGCTTTGAAAGTGCTCATACGCTGGAAAAGATCCCAAGTGATTGTATAGTATATCATTTTCATTCCGAATCCATATCCACGACTTTACACGTCAAATTTGGGGCTCCATCTACCATGCAACACTAGAAACCAGTGTAAGCCTAGCCCCCGCAAGGATGCGCTACAAATTTCAAATTTTCATAACCAAAAAAGGCAACTGTTCCATGAAACCAGCGAGGACCAGCGAGCTTGGGGTAGTTTGCGAGAGTAGGCGGTCTCAAAGAAAGTGAGCGGTTTCTCTTATAGTGGGTAGGCTTCCCGAGGCGGCTCGAAGATGCCGAAATTCTGGCAAAAAAATCAAAACTACGCGAACAGATCCAAAATTAAGCCAAAGAGGGCGAGCTTGCGTTTCTATGAGTACTTTTTTTAGGTAAGGAGTGGTTGTGGAATTAACTGCACTGAAAGAGCTTGAAATCTTGAATGAATCCTTCGAGAAGTGGGCGGAGTAGTTCTTGTGTCCATGTAGAGTGCTTTTCAGTTGGTGTGTACAAGCGAAATGACAAAACTGCAAAAATCCCATAGAAACAGAGTCAAAACCTCCTATCACCTGCGCTCTCTTGGTCGTAGCTGTTTCAAACGGGCTTCAGTATCGTCTGCATTATCCATTGTAGCGCGCTTTAATTGCCCAGTGAGTTTTCTGTGCAGGACACGATGACCTCTGAACCAGTCGTCTAGAGCATTCACGCAGAAGTCTAACCATCGCATATCCTCTGAGCGCCGTCGAGGGAGCGAGTGGACCCTCACCAATGAACGATCTCTACAAGTTTACCTCTATGTCCAGCCTGCCATTTGCACCCAAAGACAAACTCACGAATGCACATTATAGATAGTGGAGTTAAACAACGTACCTGTGCCTGCCATGTGAATGACTATTCACGGAATTTGTCGAGTTGTCCGGACCTGCTGTTTTGGACCAGCGAAGCGATATCGTGACGCCTTTGGCTCACTTATCGTTTCATCGAGTAATTATCATGCTAATACTATTAACAGTGATAAAACAACGGCAAACGCTGTGTATAAACTGATCAATTTTGTGGCGGAAACTAACTCCGAATTGTGGTAGGCGCAGCAACTAGGGAAGCATCGGTACTGCCACTCATGAGGTCCACAGCGCATCCGCTACTCCCTGTAAAGCCGCGAATGTGGGACAGTGGTATAGATTGAGCGCGAGACTATTTGTACAAGGAAGGACGCCTTTGAATCTCAAGGGCGCGGGGACTGTCGCTAACAGGACTAGGGGGGGGGGCAAAAAAGACACTTTGCCCGGGCTCATATCAGTAAAGAATAGTCAGCCTAGAGAGAAGACGTACCAGGGCGGAAGATGCTCAAGGTATTCCTCGATAAGCAGAAGAGGCTCTCTTTCATCACCCTCATGTACGCTAAAATGTGAAGCCATCTGCAATGCCAGCAAGACTGAAGAAGGCCTATGGAATTCACGTCACCTCCAAACAGCTGCGAAACTTCTTGTATGGAGTCACCCATGGACAGCTACCTGGAGACCGGCACTCTTGATCTGGAAGACCTCCAACATCGAGCAGCTCCGACAACCTGGCCCAGGATATCATCTTCTTTGCGGTCGCGAAGGCGCGGGTTGATGGTATGAAACGGAGGTTCCTGAAATGGTAAGGCCGCTATTTTCTTCGCGGATACCGACTGAAAGTGAACTCTGACTGTTACATCGAACAACTGAAGGAAAATATTCTGCCTTCATGTCGTCGCTTGTACTCTCCTCATCATTACGGACTGTCGGGGCGGGTCAGTGCGGCTGCGTTTTCCGCGGTGCCAAAGTCTTTCTGCACCAGTTGTTGAAGCGAGCAAATGACATGACAGCATTATATCCTTCGTATTACTCGTTTACCACTTTTTGTCGCATACGCAACGAAAATGGCTGAGAACGGCTTCAAACAGTGTGCGCACTCCTACTGGCTGATACGCCCCGACAGTCCGTAATGATGAGGACAGTACCATCTTGGAAACTTCACACTGCTACAGGAATATGTGCCAGCCCATGAAACCGAATGGCCTTGGAAAAACTCTTTTCACTTGGAATCGAAGGGCGTTGAATACCTGAAAAAGATGGAATATTCAAATGTGTCACCTGACCTAAGTTCTTCGATTACCGGCTTTGGAGGAGCTTCACAGGGTGGTCTACAGTGAGGAGAAATCAAGATCCTCGCTCAACTCAAGCACCGAGTCACGGTCGCAGGATCTCTCGATGGTTTCGTCTAGAAAGCTTTGGCAAAAATTCGTGACAATGTACAATGTGTTGTTGAATTTGATACTGGAAATGTTGAGTCCAGTTAATAAAGTGTAACATATATCGCCTTGAATGTCGAGAAATCTTTGCTCCCCCCGCTGTAGGCAGGCCCTTTCTGTAAGCATGAGGAAGCGCCTGATTTCGAGAAGTCGTCTCACGGGGACTCGAAAAATTCCTTCTGAACAAACAGAAGAAGTAAATGAATAATGTTTATCATTTACTATAGCGCTTTGCGAGTGATATCAAATGTGAAAATTACACGTAAGGATGATAAAAAAGAATGCGATCGATCTTGAACAACTGTATACAAAATCGGAGAAGTCGTTCACATACACGCCTGGCATCTATCTGTTGCACTGTGAACGAACCTTTCTGCAGGAGTAAAAAGATGTCATTCCATAGATGGAATAACGTTATGAAATGCATATATCTAGACTTAGCAAATGATGATTAGAGTCGTTGTGATGGGCGAAAAAACTTTACAGGCAGTAGTCATGCTAAGCTGAGAGCTACATATACAGTTGATATCTCCGCAATCAGTGGGGCGGTTTCAATAGGCATGAAATGAGCCCACCCGCAGCATTTTCTACCAGTGGTTGTTTCGTTCCTGGCTCGTTGGTGGAAAATGCAGCCGGGCGGGTTCATCACCACTCTCTTGACCGCCCCTACTGATTGCGACGAAATCGACTATGTACCATTAGTACCTGACGCGCGTCGCTCACAACCAAGAAGCCTGACAATGGGGCAGCTCGCCTAGTGTTACAAATCCTAGCATGATTTCTGCCCATGAAGAATCGCTATCACTAGGTGGGTGTCTGTAAACGGTTTTGTAAGGGTTCTTTGTAATATTCTAGCACCAGCTACACAACTCAACGAAAGATGTGGTTGCTACACGTTCCAGGGTAGCTGCCAGGATGGGGAAAGATTTTGCAGCTCTCCGGTTTTTTGCGTCATTGAAACGCAGGCGCATGAATGGAGAAACGAAGTGTCGACCCCGCCAACTTGCTTAAACGCGGAATATACCTCTGAACCATTCTAAGTTAGACCACCAGTACTTCATGAATAGAGAGCGAGTACTAGAAAATTTTCAGGAGCAGATTCGTCTCAGTAGTGCTTAAGCCGCTCAATGTTGTCGAAATGTTCCAGAAAGATAGCCAGGTAACTGTTAGGGGAACTCAACACAATTGAGTATCCCATATGATCAGATCTGTTTCTTGCTTCTCCCGTTCCTCTCGCTCGAGCTTCTTTGCGCTCGGACCTATAATGAGTGGTTTTTTTAAAAATGTACTTCATCGAGGAAGAAGTGAAGCAGCGGCAAGTAGATCGCTTATGAGCGCACGGTCTGATAGCATAGGCTCATGCCCTCCTAGCTAAGCCCTCTACCCTCCGCGACGGTGTCGGTACCAGACTGGCAAGGGAGGATAAAAGTCGGCTAGCTTACTGGATGGCTCCCGCAAGTCATGGTATAGGCCATATTGCACTTGAAGACCGTTACGTTTCTGAATGAACATAGAGTGCATGCCGCATCCTAAGTGTAGGGATTGATCAAGAGTGGGCCTTTGTCCTATCAGTGCAGGAAAGGGGCATCGTTCAAATGAGGTGGACCATTCGGTTTCTTTCAAGCACGGAATGAGTGTGGGTAACTACAGAGAGCATGGCGAGAAGTCATTCTGCAAGGTTTCTCCCCCTCTAGGTCGCCCAGTGAGCCGCTGGAAGCACTATTTCCAGAGATCGAGCATGAGCGACGTCAGTCACACCTTCCTCAGCCAGAAAAAAGCGTACCGGTGAAGAGCTCCAGGGTGATATCTCCCTCATGGGCGTGAACTGAGCCTTCAAACCTGAATCATCACAGCCCTACACAAATGATAACCAGGTCGAGCAGTATGGGGCACACTCGAAGTCGCATATAACTCGAAGGCAGTGGGCACGATGGCTGGTGGCGGGCGATTGCTGCTAACGTCATTGCTGGAAGGATAGGGTGTGACCAAACGCTTTTCCACAGCCCTTCCACGAATGACACTGGCGGCAACTGCCCGCCTCCACACGTGCCCTCTGCCATTGAATTGTCAGCCTATACTCTGTCAGTAATCCACGTATCCCGACTCCCGACAACGGCCCACGAAAGCCAATCCGACTCACTTTTATAGGGAGCATCAGCTACAGGAGCAGGTGTTGTCGTCGTCTTTCCCGCACCTCCAGAGGCTCCAAGACGTTCTTTCATTTGCTGTATCCATTCCGCTTTTCCGCTTGAGACCAACAACACATTCGAACCGTAACGCTCTTCTGGAGGAGATGAGCCAATCACTGAAAAGAATCAACTTTTAGTCTTCTTGCAAGTCCCCGGCCTTGAAAGAAGATATGAGTACATCCGAATGGTCTTTTTCGGAGTACTTCTAGCAATCGATTTTTTTCTTCTAAGCACCTTTGTGAAGCATTCGGCAATGAAGAGAACTAAAGAAAGATCAAAGAATTTTGTGGTTTCGAACCAAAGAATTTTGTGGTTTCCACCTCGAGGTAGGAGAGGGAACTACGAGGTGGGCAATGTGAATGTGAAAATTACCTCGACAGAGCAGTTGTTTCCAAAATTCGCTAAAACTTACGTGGTCGATCGCTAATATTTGGCCGCAGTGAAGTCGTCGCGTTCGAGCAGGTGCCGACTATCACCTGACATACACTACCTCACCTTTTTTCTATTCTACCTCAGAACAACGCCCACGACTAAATAATCCTCCCATGAGCGTCTCTTATCACTCTGTGCACTCTCGTGTGTTTTATTTTCGGGAAAGACCTAGAGGCCACATACAACTTGGTGAAAAAAGTACTGCGTCAGTGAAGTGAGGGTTAGCCGAATAACCAGCTCCATGTATACACAAAAACTTACCAATATCGCAATTCCTGCCTCCATACCCACTTTTGCAGTCACAGAAATAAGTACTGTAACCGGCGGTCGTTCGACAGGTGCCATTATGAAGACAAGGATTAACATCACACGGTCCTAAAAAGTGATAGTTGATAGTGATTGCGAATGATGGCACGAAAGCTAATAAGCCTTATGAGCTAATTTTTAACACAGTGATCGAACTTCTACCTTACATGCTCAATACCTTGTTGAACAGCCCGGTACGGCGATGATACATGACATGACTCTACCTACGGAAAGTCCTGTGCATAGTTCCAACCGCTATCACTGAGGGCAGCAAGGGGCGCGGCTGCGAAATAGGGAAGGGTGCAGACGAAAGGGCTACAATGACATATGTATAGAAAAGAGAAATTGAAATGGAATACGCAACCATGTCACCGCTGCCCTTTAGTGTGGACGGTACCTCCCAACGGTTCCTGAACAGCGTGCCTAGTAAGCGTGCTACATGCCATTGCGCCATATGCGTCACAGAAAATTACCAAATTTGAATCCTGTGTTACCCAAATCGCCAACATCCTCTGCATATTCCCAAGGTATAAGAGGTTGTGTAATGTCTCGCATTCTTCTCCTGACTGGAGAAAGACTGTGTGTCGGTCCTGATTTTTTCTGCTGCTCAGCACTGAGGTTTTTTTCAGAAATGTGATCCACATGGCGGAGATGGCAATCCGCTAGCGGGAGGAGGAATTCGCTAAACGGTTTACGCAACAGTCTTCAAAATTTCCAGGTTTTCATCCTTCCAGATGTGAGTCACCAGAAAGAACCTCTTTTTTCGGAGGCTGACTCCACAGCGAGCAAGGTGCATGCTACAGCCGCTGAATACTCTAGTTCTGACGCCCGCTCAGTTGGACCGCCCACTTGCTAGATGCCCTCAGACGGAGGGCCACAGTTGCTTTGTTGAGGCGGCGGGCATTAATCGGAACTGCATGTCCTTTTTGCTGACCGCGCTCGTGCCCACAAGTAATTCTGCTCTCCTTTATTACATTTTATTCATTAGGAGCACACACAGTCGAGATAGTTGCAACTGCAACCTCTCGCAAGGTAAAACGCCTGAAATTCACGAATGATGCAGCTTTCTTGGTGCAAAAGCTCGACATGCACCAGAAACGTACGCTACCGTTCAAAAGTTTGTAGCTCGGTTCCAGAACACTCCAGAAACCGGAAAAAAGAGGATCGAGGTCAGCGAGAGCTGGGCCGATTGAGGATTGCGGGGCACAAACATAGTGGGCGGGGCCTGCTCCGAGGTGGGCGGAGTTAGACGAAAAATCTGTAAAATAGTTCCAGAGCACTTCAGGGACCGGAAAAAAGTGGATTAAGGTCAGCAAAGGGTCGCCGATTGAGAAATGTGGGGCACACATGTTGTGGGCGGTGCCAGTCCGAGGTGGGCGGAGACAGACAAAAGTTCTGTAAAACGGTTCCAGAGCACTCCAGGGACCGGAAAAAGTGGATTAAGGTCAGCAAAGGGTCGCCGATTGAGAAATGTGGGGCATAAATGTTGTGGACGGGGCCAGCCCGAGGTGGGCGGAGCCAGACAAAAAATCTGCAAAACGGTTTCAGAGCGGTCCAGACACCGTCAACATGTAAGCAGAGATGTGCAGGACCTCAACTGTTGGATATATGGCAAGAGTTGAGTGTGTCTGTGGTGTGTTGTAACCCGCTCCCAGTGGGCGGAGCGCACGACGTACTTATTCTTACTGAGTTTTAGCGCGTATTCTGCCATACTCTTAACCACCGGTCGTCACAGGTATTAGATTAATAATAATAAGCCATAATCGACGCACTTTAGTACCACTCCATACCCAATAATAGTCAAAATAGCAGGGATGATGTATTTGTCGAGAAGCTTTAACCATGAGTACAGAACAAAAGCCTGATATCAGTTGAGTCTAGAAATATGTGAAAGAAGGTACGCGCGGCGAAGCCGCGCCCGCCCCGCCGCAGCCCCGGCCGTG